CTTACATTACTTCAACCAAAATTCATGCTCAATATGCCAAGGTATAAATTTCAATGTTAAATTTTTTCTATTTATAATAATATAAATCTACAATGTTATAAAATAGGCTATGGAAGCTATGGGAAACTATAAGCAAGCATTATATGGTTATAGTGCAGCTCATGATTATGAAAATGTTATTAGAATGGATTTAGATAAACTAGACGATCCACAACATGCTATATCAGTAGTTCAAGAACATCATAGTACTGAAGGTTCTAAAATGATTGCCAGGTAATTTAAATTAATTTTAGTTAAAGTCTTATTATTTCAATGTTCTGTTACCAAAATCCTTATTGCTTTTTCATTCACTATAAATAATTAAATGAAAATATATTATTTTTTCAGATATTTTCAAAAAAACAATGAAATTTTACTAGCAATTCGATTTTTAACAATGTCACATTGTTTTACTGACGCTTTTAGATTAGCATGTGATAATAACCATTTAGAATTGTATGGTGACGTTTTATTAGATGAAGATGACGAAGTGTCTATCCCAGAGTTTTGTAGCCTTGCTAAGTATTATGAAACTCAAAGCTGTGCAGCTTTAGCAGGAAAATATTATTTTCATGCCAAAAATTATCAAAAAGTATATTTATAATACAATGTCATTAAAATTTATTACAACAATTTTGAATTATTTTTAGGCTCTTAAAAATCTAATTGAAGGTAGTAAGGCTAATCCAACTAATGATGACATCTTGTCTTTGGCTATTGAAGTAGTCGCTGCAGCAAAAAATAATTCTATGGATGACGAATTCATAAAATTATTGTTAGGTGAAATTGACGATCATGCAAGGGTACTTATTATTATATTTTATATTTTGTACATAAAATAAGAATTTTTTTTATTGTTTTTTTTTTTTTATAATTCTTAAACAATATCTTTTATTTTTGTTAATAAATAAAATATTTTGATGGGTTCAATAATATTGTATTTTGTTACTTATTTTAGAATCCAAAATTTTTATTCAGACTCCACATGGCTAGAAGTCGATATAAAGAAGCTGCGAAAGTAGCTATTATATTAGCAAATAATGAACAAGTTAAAGGTAATAATATTTATAAATGGATGTTTTTACAAACAACTTAAAGTAAATTTTTGTTTAATTTTCTAAATATTTGAAAATTAAAATTGTATAGGTAATTACAGGCAAGCTCATGATGTTTTATATAATACAATCTGTGAACTACGTAACAATCAATTAAAAGTGAGCAATGAGATGACTGCTAATTTAGCACTTCTTCATTCATATATATTGGTACGAGTGTATGTCCGTTTAGATAATCATAACAAGGCAGCTCCATTATTGATAAGAGTTTCAGAAAATATTGATCGATTTCCTTCACGTATGTTTATTAATCATTATTATTTTGTTAAACTTGTTTTTCATAGCTTTATTGATATGAAAGAAGGATTTTATTTAATTTGTAAACTGGATTAATCATTTATTCAAATATTAGCAATTATTGGCATACGTAAACAATAATTTACCAACATTTTCTATTATGTTAATAAGATTTTAAAATGATCTTTGTATTCAGATGCTGTACAAATTTTAACTTCAACTGTCATTGAATGTTACCGATCCAATATGAAAGAAAGTGCTTTTAAATTTGCAACTATTCTAATGAAATCTGATTATAGACATCAGGTGATTTTAGTTTTTGTGTATATTTTATTTGTGGACAAAATTTTAAAACATTGATATTTATTATAGATTGATGAAAAGTATCGAAAAAAAATTGAAAGTGTCATTAGAAAATCTCCAAGAGCTGGTTCTCAATCAGATGAAACCATAATAAAAACAGAACCATGTCCATATTGTGGTCTTGATTTACTCTTAACAAGTCTCAATTGTACAAACTGCAAAAGTACTATACCTTTTTGTATAGCATCTGTAAGTGAATATATTGAAACAAAGTAAACAACAAAAAGATTTTTATTATTTTTCATATTATTATAGGGATGGCACATTACTAAAAATAACCTTACATTCTGTCCAAATTGTCGATTTCCTGCATTATATAATGAATTTGCTGGGTAAAGAAATTAATTCTAATTGTTAAAACTAGTTGTTATAATTTTAATCATATTGCATTTCATTGTTGTATTTTTTATTTAGATTATTAGAGGCAGGTGAAAACTGTCCAATGTGTTCAAATCCAGTGAAGGTTGATTATCTACAGATTGTCGAAGACCCTAAACCATTCTTGTTTACTGAAGAAACTAAGTGAATTTTATAGTTATTTTTAACTTAAAATTTTTGTAACTATTCCGTCCAATTAAAATGTGATAGATCTCTATACATTAGAATACTTTTAACGCTTTAATTTATACTTAATTAATATAAAAATTTAAAATTTAAATTAGAAGGATTTTTTTTATTTAATCTAATTAATAATTAGAGTTTTAAATAAAAATACAGAAAAATTTGTCACGAGACAATAACACTATGTTAAAGTTTATCATTTTATTTGAGTGAACTAATAATAAAAATAAAATATTAAATTATAGGTTTTCATTGCCTATTGATTTCAAATAATCAGGTTTTGTTCAGATAGTGTTTGAATACTTAGATAAACACAATGTTTCTGGTACAAATGTAATTATGTATGTATAATATATAGTTTATAATTCAATTTAAACTAAAAATATATATATTTATTTTGGATCGTATTTTAATATTTTCTTAATAGTTCTTTAAATGATGGAATACTAAAACCAGGTTCTTGAGTATTTAGCTATTCAATATTATTATTTATTATTAATAATTAATTTACCAAGTTAAGTACTAATTTCAATGATATGTTTTCTTTAAACTAACAAAAATTTTAAATTTGAAAATTTGTATGTACTTATTTAAATTTTCCTATAATTATAGTAAAAAAAGTAAGCGAGTACTATTTCAGAATTTTGACCTAGTAAATAATTTGTATCAAAACTTTTCATGGTAAAAAAACTAAATGAAAATGATAATATAAATATTGATTAAAATGTCAAACATCTATTATTATTTATTATTATTTTTTTTTTTTTTAATACAATAAAATACTGAAAAATTGTTTGAGTAAGAATAATTATTTTACGGGTGAACATTAAATTTTATACACATTTGAACTTGAAATGCTCATAAAAAATTAATTTGATCGCATGTAAAAAATGTAACTATAAATATTTCTAAAAATTTCAAGTATCTATAATTTTTGTTTGTTTTTTTCAATTAAGAAATAAAAAAATACTGGGAATTTTTAGTTTTGACCTTTAAAAGCTTTTATGTACAAATTAGATTCAATTTTCCATCCAAAACTACCATCATTTTTTAAAATTTAAACAATTACTGATACTTTATTGTGTACACAACCACAAAAAAAAAAAAAAAAATACATAATAAAATAAACACATTTATCGATCAGAATCTTAAATTATTTAATAGAAGTGTCTATTAAAAACAGGATTAATTGAATAATTCAAAATTATTAGTATTTAAAGTCTCTTTATTTTTTGTAGTACACTAAAAATACAAAATCTAAATAAATAATATATACATTTATCCACTTCAAAATTAGGTATATAATATTCAAGGACAGTTTTAAAAGAGAAGAGACAAATTTAATAATTTCTTAATATAGTGACAAAAATAAATTATTAAATTATAAGAAACAATTGATTGTACATTAAAATAATATTTTATTTTCATTTATAATTTTAATCTATTAAAAAGCAGCATGACTACATTATCACATAAAAACTAAATAATTGAATATATTTGCTATACATCATAGTCTTAATAAAATTATATTAGGTTAAATCACAAGGCCCACAAACATAATAAAATCACAACATTAAAAAATATAGTTTTATACAAAAGAAATATTAAAAAAATATAATGAATCAATGTAGTAGTTCACAATCTACAGACAAATTAATTTTTTGCGACATTATCTTATAACTTTACATGGTTCGGAGTATAGTTTTGTTGTTATTAGTAACTTGTCCAAAACATATTTAATTTTAATTAGATGTAAATAAAAATATCAAAAATATTCTTAATTCAAATTGGTAAATTTATAATTTAAACATCATTAATACCATGTCAAATATTATTTAGATTAATTTATTTAATAATTAAAGTAAAAAAGGAACTAACACAGACAGACATTTTAAATTACTTAAAAATGAACACTCTTTAACATTTTTAAAATGATTTTTATTTATCTTATCTAACTTGTAATTTAAATTTTAAATAAAAAAAAAAATTGTATTCAATATTAAAATATTGCTAAAAAAATATATTAGTTGATAGTAAATACTCTTAAAGAGTATGTATTTAATATTATTTTTGATATCAATTCGTATAAAAATGAATATGATAGAGCATAAACTAATTGTAATATGCTAGAAGTATACATTTAGACGAATAATTTTATTTACACTACCTTTTATTAATTTCCAGAATTTATACGTTTAAAATTAAATACAGGGATAGATTATGTAATATACTAAAATGTGATAATGAACTTGATTTTAAATTGTTTGTATCACATTTGAATAGATTAAATAAATAATTGTAATTACTCATATAAACATATAGTATTATACTGTACAGACCAGAGCACACCCTGTAATTAATATTGGTACATTTTTTGGTAAAAAATAAAAATAGTAATAACATTAAGTGTACATTAGTACAAATAATACAAACAAGTTTAAAATTGGCAAATATGGATTATGGAAGACCTCCTATGTATAACCAGTTAGTAATCTCAGTCATTAACTTAGTGTTATATTTATAATTGTACACAAAAAGTCAATTAAACAATTAATTCCAATGACAATATTATAAACAGTTTTAAACCGTTATTTTCATATTTATATTTTTTTCTTTATTTATTAATTTAATTTTGAACCAACTTAATTTTAGTTTAATTAAGTAATTTTTATCAAGACAAGGCTTTAACATTATACATCAAGTATATTTATATTACACAAAAAATAGTTTAAAGTTTGATAATTTTACTAATTGTAAAATTTCAAATAGACTAGTATAAAATAATCAGTACTATGTTTAATACTAGATAAATGAACTATAAAAATCAACTGAAAGGTTTTATGAATATTAAATTATTTACAGACACGTGTTTGGTGTTTAGATAGTGTATATAAATATTTTGAAAAACTATCTCTCACATATTGTGGGTCACTATCACAATTATTGATGTGAGGTATGACTGTAGTATTTGGACCCCACACAATTGGAGCCATATCTGCTTTGATAACAGCTTCCATATTACTGTCTATATAATAAGCACTTTCACGCTTAAAAAAATTATGAAGATAACAGCAGGCTTTAACAATGATTTGTACTTTTTTTGCTTCTAAGTTAACAGGCGTTTGCAATACGCCAAATCTCCATGCCATAATGGCTAGAGTTTTGGCAGCCCTTTGATTGGCTCTAATTAATTGCCTATTAAATAGTTTATTAGCATCGCCACCTTTATCATTTACTGCTCTGTAGGGCACCATAAAATTTTCTTGAAGCTTAAAACATTCATCAGCTACAAATACATAAGGTAACTGATTAGAATTTACCTGACATGGTAACTTTGTCATTCTCAATTTGCGTTCTAAAATTGTATTTGGTGGATTATCTTCAGAAAGATGTCCACTTGGGCATGTATCAACTAAGAGGAACTCATAGTTGGAATCCACTACGGCTGAGAGTAAGACACTGGGTCGACGGCGTTCATTTAGATAATCAGAATCTGCTTTAGATGCCTTACGTAGTTCAATATGACGCGCACATGCTGCACCTAAGCATGATGGAAATCTTGTAGTACGTTCAAAAGTTGTTGACACTAGCATCCATTCTTCTTCAGTTTGAGGACACTAAAAATAAATAAGTCATATTAATTTGTTGGTTTGTAACAAAACTATTAATATTACAAATATACAATTTTAGCTCTATACAACAATATTAATTATTAGACAAATTATCTGTAAACAATGTAATAAAACATACTAACATATAAAAACTGATAACAAAAAAAATAGATTCAATTAAATTTAACTATGATATGAATTGATTTGTTCCTATTAAAGACTTTAAGATTCATTGGATTTTTAATATATAATTTGTAATATAATCATTGTGAATTGTGTAAATTTTGTGAAGAAAAACACTGTAAACCTTTGGGTGCATAAACTGTTAGCAAGTAACATGACGGTACCTGAAATGAAGATCCATAACAACTTCATGTTTCAGATAGTAGTGGCTGTACCGGAGAGAGCACTCAAAGCACCTTTTAACTAATACCCACCATTATTGCTGCTCAATAATCTAACATACCTGCTAACTGGCAATGCACCTACTGCTAATGATAAGGACGAGAAAAAAAGAGCTGGTACTTGAAAGTGTGACTTTTCCAACGAGGATACAGAAAAACTTATGTTATATAGGTAATTGCCTGATGGAGGAGCTTTTTTAGATGCACAACCTATACCTAAGTGTGGAACATTCTGTCACTTAGCAGTTGTCAGTAAATTTCCGACAAAAGAGACATCAAAATTTAGATATATCAGTCATATACATTGATACAAAAAAAGATGAACTAATGTTTGACCTATTTAATAATCAAAATGACTTATTAACTTATTTTTAACTGAGTTAGGTACGTTAATTCAAATTTATTTATTAATTTTTAATCTTGAGAGCTAAATGTATTATATAGTATTTTTTTAATAAATAACTTATAATTCAATTAATACTAAACTAAAATAATTCGAATCAATTGATCACCTTTGATGCAAATTTTAATGTCTAACAAGTCAATTACGTAAAACTTAAATAGAAAAATAATATTTAAGTAAAATGCTGTATAAAAATAACTGTAATAAACTATACTAAATTTAAACTTAAAACATGGGAGGGGCAAAATAATATAATATTTAACATCTGCTCCTAGCTAAAATGTTAGCCTCTCCTAGGTTACACCAATACTTGAAGTTGAATAGGTTTAACCTCAAAGTCTAGTAAATTAAATAATGGATATTGTTGAATTGGGTGTTTTTTATGGGATACTTAAATTAAATAAGAGTAATATTTTTTTTTAAATATATAATTGAAAATAAGATTTTAGGTGTACTTATTTATAGTTTTATACTAGAAGTTGATTAAAATACTTTATAAGTTTCATTAGTAAACTTGATAATTAAAAATAATCTTTTAATTATCTATAAAGATCATTTTTTAAAGAATAACAGGGACTTAATTTAAATATAGAAGAAATTAATTTTAAGCTAAATGAAAATCATAAAGGTAACTTACAAATTGACCATTTTTTATTTTGAGTTCAAACTGATATCAGTTAGAGAAATATTAAACAACCAAACAAGTAATGGGCTTTGAATTTTTCATGAATTAGATTAAGTTAGGTTAGATTAACAGCGTCAAAAATGTTATTAGAATATTTATATGATGTAAACTTAGTGGTCAGAGAACACAATTACAAACTTTAAGTAAATATTTCAATAATTATTTTCATTAAATAATACTTTTCTGTGATTTGGAAATAAAAGTATTAAGAAAAACTAAACGTTAGAACTTATAAGTAATGATTAATAAAATAAAAAAAACACAAGACTCGCCTGCAGTTTCTAGATACACAATAAAACTGAACATTTTTGAAATGGGAAAATATTGTTAAATAAATATAAATATACATATATTTAGTATTGATATAAGATATGAATAAATACCTTAATGTAGTCTTTGAGTGCTTCTATAATACAGTCACAAGTTTCTACAATGATCTTTGCTAACATTTGAGGTGATATGTGGGTGTCAACCTTAATTTCTTGTAATGTAGAGCTGGTACCTAGAAATCTAAGAGTTGCTGTCAAACGCCTTGCAGCACTCACTTTTAGTCCATTTTTGACTTTAGTCATATATGGGTGTAATTTTGACAATAACTTGTGAAACGTTTGTCTATCAACACGTAATCTTTTTCCACGGTCTTCCTTGGCCAACCACTCCAGCTCTTTTTCCAGTAATGCATCTCTAATATGACCGTCCCGTTGGCCAAAGTATGGGCGTTGTTCCATCGACTGATGTGATGATAACGATGAAGAACTACATTCAGATAGTTGATTTTGGGTATTTAACAGCAGCAAAATTGCAGTCCATTCAAGATGGTTAAGTGAGGAGTCTTCAGCTAATAATGCTAGTAATAACAATTCGTTGTTGGTTAACATGACATCATTGCACCAAGGATCAGTGTTTGTATACGAATAGATTCTTTTAAATAAATAGGTAGTAGATATATAATTCAAAATAAAAAGTACAACATTTAACAATTACATTAAAAAATGAATCACAATATATATTTTATTTTACTTGAATAGTGAAAAATTGAAACAAAATAAACGAATTTTTTGCTTGGGGGATAATGACGTATACTCAATACTGTAAGTATTTAAAATACAAGCTACTAATCGGACGAAAAAGAAACAGGAAAACGCCGAACCGATGCCGAAAACTGATAATGCCAAAATAATGATTACGCGATACGATACAGTTTACAGTGTTGATATCAACATTTAAAAAGATATTTAGAAAAGGGAAATTTCATATTATTTAACGAAAATATAATAATAATATTATATTGTTGCCGAATACCGATTAAGAGATTTATAGGTAAAATAAAAAAAATTAGGTAGGTACCTAAGTAGATATACTGTGTTTTACGAAAATACGAAATACGAACACACAATACAATACTTCTTCTCTTAGATCATAATAAATACATTACATAATTATATAATGGGTACTGGGCAGTCTTGGATGGTGATGTTCCACTTTCCACCAAGTCAACCAAACACAGCTGTTGTAGATAAATAGAACTCTGCTGCCCACAAACTAAGGTACGAGTGTATGATTTATTTCTAGTTAACCGTGTTACTACCGAAAAATGCTGATAAATTAATCAATTATTGTAATCAGATAAACCCTGTAGACTATAACTTTTTTGATAGGTATTTTATTAGAAATATGAGGTAGGTACCGACTACCGGTCAAATATGCCATCCATCTGACTAATAGGTACTACTGTATTAGGTAAGACCTAATACGATACTCAAACCATTGAATGCCTAATGAAAATTCAGAAAAAACGAATGAAATAAACGATGAGAAAATATCGGACTAAAATATATTCAAACCAAAATATCCCAATTTAGAAAAATCATCATATTTATATTTTAAATAAACACAAACATTTTGAAATATCGTTGTAGCTGTTATATTTACAAATAAAATAAATGTTAAAATGTTAACGAAATACAATTAAATACCATTATGGTATAGATCATACTTTTCTAACAAGATTAGCAATAGAATTCTTAAATCTTAGGATATCTTCACTGTCATTATTGCATTTTTCATCTGTAGTGGTCCAATATGGTGCTTAGTTCACACTTCACATTGTGTCATTATTGTCTCGTCAGTTGTAGGTAGGTATATTAAAATTAATGTCCGAATTATCGCTGGTATTAACCTAAATCAATATTAAAACAATTTAATTGAATTATTCAATTTTATTAATTATAAATATGTATTAAGTTTGAAAAAATCGGCTGTTCCATCCTTCACATAAAATTGCTTATTCAATCATTATTACAACCACAAAATAGAGATTCCAAATTACACTCTGTCGTTCCACGAATGGTGCATATGATTTTATTGACTATTCGTTAAATATTTTTATAGTATGCAATGAATATATTCTATATAAGAGTATCTAGGACCTACTCACACAAAAAAAGGTATCAATTGGCAACTAGATCTAATTCTCTAGTTATCAATTGAAACAATTATCAGATTTGAAAACTTAAGTTTTTTTAATAATACAAAAAGGAGGTACCTATTAGTATTTGAATTTAAAATAGTAGGTAGACATTATAGTACCTAATTTGTTATTCTACGTACCTATGACGTTACTTTTAACACTTTAGTTCTATCTAGGTAAAATTATTTTTTCAATGTAAAATATAGATATAAGTAGTTTAGATACGCTATTTATAAAAGTATATTAATCAAATAGCGGGAAATAAGACTTAGGTATTATAAATTTGCGAAGTTATTGAGTACATTATGCAAGATCTCTGTCAAAAAAGATTAAATATCTTCCTGATACGATCTGTAATATTGTACGGGTCTGGAAATTGAACATTGAAGAAATTAAATGAAAATAAATTCTATTGATACTTGAACAAAAATACTGTGGAACATTTTTAGGCTAATAAAAGATGAAATAAAAAGATAATGGAGACGAAGACAAAATATAATTAAAAGAAAATTATAACGGAAAGAATACGGTAGAGTCTATCAAGAAAGGAAAACTGCGTTGGATATAGGGCATATAACGAGAAGTCAACATTTTCCATTAAGAGCGGTGTTGGGACATTATCTTGTAGGGTAAAGACTTTAGGGAAGACAAAAATTGAGATGAAAAGAAACAGTTAAAAGGGACATGGAAACACAAGAAAATTGGTCAATCTGGCAGGCTCTGAAAATTGATAGAAATAGTCCTAATGGCCAGATCACCCCCCCCCCCCAACAATAAAATAAAGAGAAATAATAAGTAGCATCATATTATTTTATTGATATTAAAACATAGCATAAAACATCCAAGTATATACTTGTTAATTTGTATTTATTATGATAGAAATTTTACTTACAGAAAATGTATACCTATAGGTATGCTTTTGGATCTCAACTTTTTTTTAAAATATATTACCGTTTTAGCATAATTTTCTATGATTAAACATATAATTATTTACAGACGTCTTCTATATTTACTCTTCTTTATTTGTCTTCCTTTCTTAATCATAATCCTATATTATGTTTGAAAATTATGTAAATACTTAAATACTTAAGTCTTTAAAACTATAAAGTATAAGTATAATAAAAATGCATTCATCATCTTTATACATAGTTATAAACAATAATATACACAACTTTTTTCCAGTGTTTTCCTGATAAAGCCTATATGACACGAGTCGTATTTTTCTTGACCTACATCTCCAACAAAAAGACGACATTGCAGGACGTCCATTTTTTATGACAACTAAACGAGGCGGTGTATTGTGTCCGGTCATAATTTTACATTTAATGCAGTACGAAGGTCGGCTGAATTCTATAATATTTGTATTTTGACTTTCACGAATAAAACAAGAATTATTTTCAGGGAATAAACTAACGACTTCGTCTAAATCTTCATCAGTTGTATTCATTTTAGAACGAATGAATAAATTATAATTGTGTTGAAGTTAAGATGATATTTTTATCGTACAAAAATGTAAAAATTAAACAGTGAAATAAGAATTTGAAAACGACTTTTAAAATAGTTTCGGTACAATTATATTTTAATGAGTAAATAACATCATAATATAAATTTTATTTGTTTATTTCTATTTTATTATGACTAGTATATTTACGATTTAAACATTTAGTACCTAGTTATATTATATGACAGCCAAATACCTATCTAATATCTAATAAAAGTATGATGTCCATAATTATTAAATAAATTCTAAGTTCAAAGATATTGTATATTAATTGTAACATCATGTAATCTAAAAATGAAGATTTTTTTTTTAAATTATAATTAATAAAACACTAAAAAAACATTCTCTGATAAATGTATAGGTACATTTTACATAAGTGCTTATAGCTTGTAATTATTTACATAAACTTAAAATCACTTTAATTGAATAAAAAAACAAATTAATCTAAGAACAAAGGTTTTTCTTAGATAGCAAGTTTTTGTCTAGGTATTTATTATAAAATAAATATAATTTTAAAAGAAATCATTTTTTTTTTTTTTTTTTAGTACCTAATTAAAGTAAACTAAATTTAATGCTTTGAAGTTTCACAGTTAATATAGAATTGTATTAATTAATTTAAATTTTAAATTGTATTAATAATGTAGGTAATAGATTTGCATCATAGAAAAGAGTTTTGCATTGCATGTTATGAGTTATGATTTTATACTACTTATATTGTTATTTGTTACCTATGACAAAATTAATAGTTATGATTATATAAATGTATATAACAGGAATACAGTGCTTGAATTGGAAAAAAATAAGTTGAGGAACTCAATCAATGATTTAAAAACTACGCTCCAAGTGCATAATTATTTAACAAAAACTTGTGGGGGTCAAGCTCCCCACCACCCCCCTACCATGCAAGACTATTTTTTTAAAAAACTACATTTTAGCTGCATACACTTAAATTCTTAATATGATTTGTGTAAGCGAATGTGAATTTATATGCGTTCAGTTCTCATGATTTTGCTGAATATATTTCATATATTCAGTTACTTAAAATGACAATTATATATATATTATTATAATATTTAAGATTTTTACTTTTCTAAAGCACAGACTAGATATTAGAATTTTATTATCCAAAACCAATCTCATAGTTAAAAAAAAAAAATATTTTTTTCAACTACTTATCGTGTAGGTACAGCAGGTACACACATGATTATAAAATCAATACATTCATTACTCCATTTAGAATTTAAAATATTAAAATTGACTAATCCACATTATTAGTACTTAATTTTAACTCTAAGGTAATGCCAATAAGCAAAATAAGTCAGATAGATTAATTATCACACCATTAAAGATAGAAATATTAATGCCTGGATGGGTCCAAAAACTTTAAATCTGCGTTACAAATAATGTAATTCATATTTATAAAAAAATTATTTATTTTTTTTTTGTATTAAATATATATTATTTTTAATTGTAGTTACTAATTATTAATAATTTTTATCTTTTTTACAGCTTCATTAATAATTAGATATTCACAAATTGTAATAATAAAAAAAAAATCACTGTTCCAATTAAGGTTGATTAAAGTTTGAGATTCATACTTGACGTATTTCTCTAATATAATTATTATCCTTAAAAATTAATAATTTTATTTTCTTGAACTTGGTCAGTGTTTGTTTAATTTTATTATTTATTTAAACCAATTATGAAAAAAAAAAATTACATCTTGAAAATTTAAAAAACAAATAGAATACTTATATTTGTTATTTTTTTAAAAAAAATTGATACATCACACCATTCAATTAGTTTTTTTAAAACTATTATTGTAATAAATCTGCATTAAAAAAAAATTATTTTTTACAGTTACTAAGGATGATAGTATTATAATCCAATATTTGAATTATGTATCTCCTACAATATGAACACTGTTTATTAGTAATATATTACATATTCATTTAATTTAATATTCATAAATAAAATTACAAATGTTTAATTAATGTTATAAGCAGTGTTAAGCTCTAATATCTAAAGCTGCTTGATAAACTCTTCAAAAGTATTTTTAATACATGAACCTATATATAAATATGGTGGCATAGCTATAGTGACTGTTATAGGATTATGGCAATAGTACAATGGCACTTGGTATTTTGGTTGAATTTTCTGAGTAGAGATGTGTGGTAAAAGTTTAATTGTTCTATTAAAATATTATAATGGGCATTATGCTCTTCACA